ACTTATCCGGGTTTACAGTGTGGTCCTGCTGCAGCTGATCCCTGAATGGCCCAGAAAGCAGTGTGTATGCAGCTTATCTTAGAGCTGTCTTCTGTAAATAACCATAAACCTGTATAGAGGCTGTCAGTGGGTTGTGTTTGAAACCAGAAACATCCTGATCCCTTTTGAACGTCGTTGTCCTTGAAGTCACATGGTTTCAGGCTATAGGCTGTGGCTCAGTCATACTTTCACTTTTCCTTTTGTTATCTCTGATTAATAAGTAATGTTCCTGCAGAGATTCTCAGCTCGTTCAACCTCTAACAGCACAAAAGATAACAGGTGGGAGCGGGTTGTTAGGTGGGACCGCCACATCTACACAGACCAGACAGAGCTCAGGACACACATAACAAAAGGTGAGTTCATATAACAATTCTATAGAGTTTCTGTGTACAGACTAAGTAGAGAATGTAAATAAATAAAGGAAGCATAAGATACTCATCTACGACGGATTATTAGAGCCAGACATACGGAAGAAAAATAAGAGATTGATGTTTTTTTGCATTTGGAGAAGACAGTTTAAATATCGAGAATAAACTTTAAATATAATTTCGAGAATAAAGTGAAAATATAGAAATAAAAATCCAGCTGCTTCGCTCTCTTGCTGTGCGTCAGTTGCCGCAACCTACAGGCGCATGCGCCGTGTGGAGGGAAACCACTATATACAGTGTATATTACTGTGAAATATATTATTGTACGTCCACAGTGTATTACTGGCTAATACTTGCGGTAAATTCACAGTAATTATTTTACAGTAATATAGGCCTGGATGAAAATCACAGTAACTTAATGTGTTTCCATAGTAACCGGTCACAATCGCTTCGTGTTCACAGCAGCTGACTGTAATATTCCAAATAACTTCCCTTCATACATGGCAGAAAGGGCATTACAGTAGTTCATTGTGAGAATGTATCGTGAAATCCTGGTGAATGTAACCTGATACCTGGTGTTATCAACGTTTTACTGCCATTTATGGTCGCACTCTGTCCAGAGTGCAGGACTCCTCCACACACACTCAGGGTGCTTTACAAGTCTCTTGAACACGAGACAAGTAAAGAAGTGATATGATGATATGATATGTCCTCCTGCTTTGTCCGCAGTTGTTCCAACAGTCAGCTTGGTAATGTAATAATGAATGAAGCTTCCTGGACGTAGTCTCAGTGTTTATTGAGAGGACAGGAGGAAGGACTGATACTGACTGCTGTCTGTGTGTTTGATGTCAGGAGTATTATTTATTTATTTTACTGACACTTTAGATTTGTTTCCAGTGAGAGATTATTGAGTTGGTAACACTTAACAATAATCATACAAATATTAAAGTATTGTGCAGTAGTAGTAAGTAGTAGTAGTATTGTTTAGTCATTATCTGTACACCTGCATGTGTATTCTGTCTGCTGCGTTTACCTGGAGGACTGTGTTGAATGCTGAGCTGAAATTAACAAACAGCACTCAGACGCAAACTGGTGGTATGTAGGCTGACAGAGACTTTCTTCTTTATGTGCTGGAGAACCACAGGGCAGTTGTCCTTTACACTAGATGATGCAGACTTTTTAGGTACAGGGACGATGGTGGCTGTCAACAGGTGGGAACACTCTCTGTGACAGTGATATGAAATGTTAGTAATGACATCCACTAGCTGACTGAAACATGGTTTTAGTACACAGCCATAGATGTTATCAGGCCCAGACGCTTCAGTCAAATTCAATTTCACATCCACTGTGGATACTGACAGTGGCTGATCGTCTGGAGGTGGAGTCCACTTTAGAGCTGAGTCTTTGCTGAGGAGATTAAAGCGAGCACAAAATGTGTTTAGCTCACACATGATGGGAACACTCCTGCTTTTGTATGAGGTGTTTTGTTCAGGATATCTTTGTTGTCGTTGGTTTTGTAGTCTCTCTCCAGTCTCTGCTGCTGTCTCTGGTTTGCCTTCTTAATACCAGGTTTCAGTTTTGCTCTGGCGGAGCTGTATGTTATGTGAGTTTTTGTCACCTTAGAATGAGCTGTTTTTATCTCCTGATGCCGCCAGTCCACCGTGTTGAACCGCCATGTTTCCAATGTAGCAAAGAAGAGACTGTGGGTTAGGCAAGTACTGCAGAAAAACACCTGACAGAAGTAAGGGATAAGGCCGGTGTTCTGAAGGCTGCACGACAGAGCAGGTGACTTGGCCAGATCCAGCCACTAGGGGCGCTATCGTGCTCAATCGGGCCGAGTGCCGCTGCTTGTGAGGGAAGTAGAGACTGACGACGGTGAGACGTGTGTATTGCAGGCAGCAGAAGTTGTGTTTGCTACATTGTATCCGTTGATCTGCCGTTTGTGGTTCAGTTTATTTGCTGGATGTAATTTCATTGTTGTATATTTTATCTGTTTATATGTCTGCTGGTTGAGATTATATCTGGTGCTACAATGCATATTTCTAGCAGTGTTAACTATTACCTCTGAGTGGTGGATATTATTAGCAGCAAGTGAACATTTTGTCCTCCAAGTTGATTGTTAAGAAGCAGGAAAAATGAGGCAAACGTGAGTGAGCACACAGCTTTGACAAGGGCCGAAGGGAGCGGCATTGGCCCTGATAGCGACTGGGTCAGAGTGGTCAAATAGTCCCGATCAGAAATAGCTCCAAGGGAAGGAAAAGCGAGTGAACCGAGCGAT